TTTTAGAGACCTCTATCCTGTCCCCCCTCCGTCTCCTCTTTTCTAAGCTGAAAAGTCCCAGTCTCTTTAGCCTCTCTTCATATGGGACCTGTTCCAAACCTCTGATCATTTTAGTTGCCCTCCCCTTTCCCACCCTCTCTCTTCCCCTCTCCCACCTGCTTTTCCCAGTCTCCCCCAGTTTTGTTCGATAAAGACAGATTCCATTTTGGAAGACACGGTATCTTTATTTTGTACATCAGGAAGGGGGGCTAGGGAGGGGTAAGTGGAAGGAGGTGAGGGAGGAATGGGGCACGAGCCCCTGATGGGGAGGACTGGGCTGGCTCTGCGGGCTTCTGGGTGTGGAAGCTCTCCTGCAGCCCCCCGATTGCTCCCTCTCTCCAGATGGCAGCCTGCGGCAAGTGCAGCCGGTCTGATGGCCAAGTGGTGTGATGTGCCCAGTGTGGGTAGTCCATGCAATCCAAGCCAGGACTGCTTTTCAAGCGGGGCACCCCTGAGAACTGTCTGTCCGGGGTGGGGGTCGGGACCCTTTAAGCACAGCCCTTGGCTAGCCTGAGACAGCATCTCCAAGCTCCAAGTCCTCCTCTGATGCCCTTCTGGCATTGCTTCCGGCCATCCTTTACCCTGATTCAGGGTCCACTTAATGTGGACATGCTAGTTCGAATTAGCAAAATGCTAATTCGAACTAGTTTTTTAGTCTGGATCCGTTAGTTCGAATTAGCTTAGTTCGAATTAACTAATTCGAACTAAGTTAGTTTGAATTAACGTTGTAGTGTAGACATACCCTCAAAGATTAAGTATTGGCTTCAGGACCTTGTACAGAATTACTATCCAATAACTTGTTTTTCTCTTTCCATTTGGTGTATGATCTAAAATGTCCATTAGTCTCTCCTTTAGCAATACAAAAAAGATTTAAACCGAGGGAACTAGAACATAAATTAGGAAATACAAATCAAATTGCAAGATGTCTGACTCTTGAAATGTCAAAATTGAAGGTCGTTAAGTGTGGTTATGGCTTAAATGTAAGTAATATAAAGTTAATTGTTACATGCATAATGGAAACACTCTTTTCCTATATGCATAAAACACTACTAGCATAAACATACTGACTGCAGAGTGCCCGGAATGTAAGAGCATGGGAGGCACTACTTTTTTTTTTTCTCTCTCTAAAAGTATTTCAACATTACTTGCTTTTGTGGCCTTGGTCAAATCAGTTCAACTCAATGCTTTGTCATCCACATATGGAAAGTGGGCCCTATTTACCTCATCTGGGTACTTAATGTCTGCACAACACTTTTATTTCAAAGTATAAAATATATTTCATTGGTCTATGAACAATCTTTGCATTTGCCAATATGCTATACCATGCAAATACTGAAGGGTATATTAACACGTAACACTGTAATTAAAAGTATCAGAAAAGTATTTTTGAAGTTAATTTTAAGAAGTCATTAGTGACATTTGGAAAAGCAATCCCTGTGTGTATCATAGGGACACTGGTGTTGAAAAGCCACATCCTCAGATACTGCTCACTCAGAGGACAAAAATATTGGGAAAAATCTGAAAAATTTAAACAGGGTACAGAAAGAAATATAAACACGAAATAAAGTATCAGAAGAGAACAAAAAACCCTTAGTATTATAGAAGTCCACTGCATGTCTCAAACTAAGACAAGAAATGGAATAATTTACTTTCAGAGGCAAGTTCTAAGTATACATTTTAGTTAAGAAAATAACTTGCATTCTAAAGTTAAAGTAAAGTTTTAAAAATAATTTAGAAAGACTCTAAGTACAGGTACTGCACTTGCCCCCAAGTCCTGCCAATTTTTATAAACTTACAAATCAAATTTTTCTGTATTTTTTCAAACTAATGTCTCTCCTCCATCTAGTCCAAGAAACTGTTTATTCATAAAGTGCTATAAAGTGTGCTCTGTGAAACTGAAATAAATGAAAAATAAATTTTCTGCCGTAAATCCTTTTAGTTATTTGACAGTGATTTCAGCTATTGCTGTCACAATGCTGGATAAAGAATAGCTGCATGTTTTTCAATTGGTGATATTCCTTTATTTTCACTTTTTTGTAGTTAAATGTACAGGTTGGACCTCACGGGTCCAGCACCCTGGGAACCTGACTGGTCCCGAACAAGGGGATTTTCTGGACCAGGAAAAGTCCCTCCCCTCATGGCTGTGCTGCCACTGGCCTAGGCTCCAGCTTGCCCCCTTTGCTGCCGGGGGCTCTCCCTGGCTCCGCTGCTGCTGGGGCCAGAGCGCCACGGCCAGAGCTCAGCAACCATCTGGCTCCGCGGCTGGGGCAGGAGTGGAGGGATGGGGCGAGATCTCCCTGGCTGCCACTGGGGCTGGAGTTTCCTGGCTGCTGGAGCCCGGATACCTGGGCCAGAGATCTCTGGCTGGGGCTGGAGGTCCATGGCCAGACTCAAGCTCCCTAGTCGCCGGTGCCCCTTACGGCACTCCTGACCCGTTGCCAGACCTCCCTCTTTCTGGGCTCTGTGGTCCATGAACATCTGTGGTCCATGCCAGACCACAGAGCAAGGAGTCCTGGTTAAGGGAGGTCCAACCTTAGTAATTCAGTTATCAATCTGATTTTGAGACAAGCAATGTACATTTATATTTCTTGTTAATTCTTTTGCTCTCTTTCTTCAACTTAATCCCCAGGGTATTATCTTGACGATTTCCTCGTTAGATCTGGTTAGAAATGGAATTTTTCAACAAAAACAAAACAAAAACAGAGGGATTTAGGGGGTTGGTTTTTTTTTTTTTTGCCAAAAATGTCTACAGAAAATGTCAAATTTCTATCTAAATACCTGAAAAAGGAAATAATCAGTTTTCAGTCAAAAAGTTTTTGATTTTTCTATGAAAATTCAATATTTTCCATGAAAAGCAACCACTGGATGTGAAAAATTTCCCACAGAACATGGGTTTTTGACGAAACCGGTGTAAGCAGAAAATTTTCCACAAGCGCTAATCCTACTTCTGTCTTTATGATTACCAATTCCATAAACACACAACAATGTTTCCCTCTCACAGACTAATAATGGCAAAGGACAGATTGACTGTCATGCAGGATTGGGCACAAGGAAGACAGTACACTGCCTTCTATTACATATGAAAAATGTGGCAGCAAACCAAAGCATTTAGGTATCAACTCTCAACACATCTGTATCTTTGCCAGATACAAGATGGTTAATTTTAAATAGAAAGTGCTGCGATTTCACAGGAAAGCTACAGAACATTATTTATGTGCATGAGCAGAAATTGTCCTAGGAACTCTATCATCCAAACCTGTTCTGATTCCAAACTCTTATTACATTTACATTTTCAAACTGTTCCTCCTGTTGCATATTAAGAGTTTTTTTGTAAATTTATTTTATGTGATCTATTTCTCTTATCAGGCAGGATGCTGCAGAGCATCACAAACTGCACCTTAGAGTCTTTATTTGGCACAGTGCAATATGAGACATCTGCATTGGACAGGAAGCTCAGTTCTGGGATTGTTTTAGATATTAGTAATATTGACAAATCTCATTTTGCTTCCTAACATTTAGCCAGGTAAGGAAGAAATTTTATGCAGTTCAATGGGCTAATAAACCAACTTCTCATCCCTAGAAACTTCAAACCATGGTTTAGATCCCAAAACAGTTTAGTTGTCTCAATAAAGGTCCTACAGATGGAGATGACTGGCAGCCTATGCTCTCAGGAAATTTGGAGGACCAGGATAATGAGGGGTGGGTGAGCTTTCTTGTGTTTTGAGTAGTTCACAATTGAGGTACAGTGACAGGTTGCAGTTTGTGTAAGGAAGCAGCTCTCACAGTGTTTTCCCAGCAGCCACCGTGGCTCTGAGAGCTACTAACAGAAGCTGACAACTGACATGACAGCATTGCAAGGGACAGAGTTTATTTTTCAGTACTTGTCCTACAAGTGGCTTTTCTTTCCAGGTAAAGCCTTAGCAGCAGAGATCACATGAGGAGCTCAAGCTAACGATTTCCCCGTGTCAGCTTCATGTGGGACACAAAGTACGTTTTGCGCAATGAAGGTATTTAACATCAGCCTCACTTAAATAAAGTGGATGTTTAGGTCATATTGTACTTGTTCTCCCAATCTGTCCCAGACGGTAGGATTTGCAGGTGATTGATGCTGATAGACATGTGGGGTGGACAGGGTAGGAACCGAGAGACTGCTTTGTACTAATTTGAACCTTTCTGTGAATTACTGGTTTAGACCAGGATTGCCAAAGAAAGTAAGTTAGATACTTATCTATCTAACTTACGCTCCATTTAAAAATCCCAGTCTCTGTTTTTTAAACTTTATAATTCTAGCCAAAATGTATGATAAGGGCATTTTATAAAATTAAAACAATGATTTATGTTTATGTCTTTCCACAGATCATAAACAGAACTATCTGGAGTCAATGAAATACTGTTTGCAGGCAGTGTTCAATTGAACTGAAAGACCAGAACATAATACTGAAGCTATTATTATGGAGTTCTGTGTTCCATAATGCCGAGTGCAAGTATTTAATTTATTTTATTTCAGAATCGACAGACTCTTATCTTTGTAGAGCTGATCAGGAGATCTGGGTGTTTCTGTAACTGCAATGGCTAATGACTAAATATGACTACTAATTCTGTCAGCTAAATCCATGTTTAAAAACTCATTTAGTCTTATAAAATGCATCCTACATAACAATCACCTGTACAATGGATAAATACAAAACTGTTATAGACTGAATTCATCTAAAATTCACTTTCACCTCCACATGGTCCATGAGGGCTAATTTCTCTATTTCAACAAACCGTTCTTCTCAGAAACACAGCAAGATAGTAAGCCTAACCGCTTACTTTAAAAAGTGAAATGGGAGCTACAGATATGTTTCCAAGTCATGCTTAAGTCATCTGAATACACTTGCTTATTACTTTTGGGTTACAGTTGGATACAAATTCTTGAATGTTCTGGGCACAACAATCTTCTGTTGTTTTCTCATACTTACAAACAATTTGCTCTTGTATATGTACTTGCTCCTCCCACTGGAGTCCTTCACCTCTTTACTGAAGACCAAGGACATCTCAAAGAGGAAGAGGTGCCTCTCACGACCCTTTCGGATTAAAGTTTTGGGGTCCCAAACTTGGAAGGATTCCTGAAGGATGAGCTCTCCCTGAGATTCAATATTCTCATCAAACCCTACAAAACCAGCAAAGACAGACAAGGTGAAGCTGAAAATTAAAAGTGGGAACACTAAAAACATACCATGCTTTATCAAATAATTCCATCACCCTCTGTTTTCTAATTAAATTTAGTATTTTTAATAGAGAGGGTTCCATGAGCTTAGGGTATGCTTTACAGTTCAAAGCCAAATCATAACTCAAGTTTATGTTTCGATTCAACAGCTGAAAGGTCTTGTGAACGGTTCTGATAAGATTCCTGCCACAAATGATACGTCTCCAAAATCAGCTTCTCATAGACAACCCCCATCATGAAGTTAAAACTTTTCTTACAAGGATTCTGCCACTTTAGGCTGAAGTCTGTAAAACTATTTTGTTGGGTGGTTTGCAAGTCTCCTAAAGCCAGATAAGACTTTAACCTCATTAGAGAGAAAGCCAGGACAATAGGAGTCGATTTTAAAGTAGCGGATACAAATTTGCACCTTCTTTTTCTAAGAAGTCCAACTAGATTTATTCTAACTACAATGCTAAGGAACTGATTGACCTGAGCTGCACATTCCTACTTGGGATTGACACATCCTTAGAATTTAGGGTACTTATTATGAGCATGGTCAGGCTCATCTCTTTCAAAAAAGAGGAACATAATTTGAAGAAAGATTTCTGGCAAGCACAGTTTAACCAATGCATTTCTCAGTCCAGGCCAATAACATCTTTTTCTTTTCTTTTTTTTTTTAAAATAAAAGGTCAATAACTACTATAGAAACAATACACACCTCAGAAATCTCTCAGATCACAGCAAAAGTGGTATTCAAGTCCCCTTTCCATCATTTAACAGTGAATTACATTTACTATACATTTAAGTGTAAAAAATATATAGCACAACTGCAGACAACCAGGGCCTAGACTACCATGACAGTATAAAACAATTTACATAGAGAAATACTATTCCAGTCTTCATTGTACACACACATCTTTGCTTCTCAAAGTACAGAACCACAACAATTTGTGTTTTATTAAGCCATTATACAAAAGGGATTCTTTATCATAAAGGGCAGCAATATGAAGAGTATCTGAAAGAAGTTGGATTAGGAAGTTAATTTAGGAGCCTCTTGAGATATAAAAGGAAATGTGTTCACTCACTAGATTCATCTACCATGGAATGACTCATAACTATACACATATGCTTCATGAAAGACACATTAGAATATTCTGTAGAGTCAGCCTACAGGCTCTAAGTGGTAAAGGATGAGCATTAATGCTTTTTTAGCATTCAAAAATCACACTGCATGTTTAACAAGGAATTTGGGACTGATTGCACAAACTTTCATTCACTTTAGCAATTCCATAAGAATATGGAGTGGAGGATTTTCAAAAGTAATTGCTTAGGAGTGTTTGGGTGCTCATAAGTCACTTAGATTTTGGAAATCTTATCTGAAGAGTTTTCAGTTTTTTTAATCAGAGTCCAACTCTATAGTAACAATAGTGTCAAAGAAAATGTAAATACTAGCCAAACCATCTGTGATAAATCCTTTATGCGCAAATTAAATCTGCTGTGGTCATGGGCTTATCAGTCTTTGTGATCGGCTGCTTTGTGTAACAGAGATTCCATCAAAGTTATCAAGTATGTGTGGGATCTTTTTAAGCAATACATGACCAAGAACAAACTATGAAATGGCTTTGGTCAAATGTCAATTCAAAGCATATGTAAGAAATTGAATCCAAATTTAATGCCTCCTATATTATGAATGTACATGATGTTTTCTGGCTCTCTCTCAGACTAAACTGGTTTATATTGCTTTTTTTTAAACTGTCAAAATATGTACTCTTTTTGAACCAGAAGTCAGTTATGAAACAGACTGCTTACAGATGTGAAAGCAACGACCTCCTGGAGATTATTACGTGATACATAGACCAGAACTATCTCTGGTGGATTTAATTTTTTTTTAAACTTTCTTGATACTTTCTACATACTTTAATACTTTCTTTTTTGAACTTCAAAAAAAGTTCTGGCACTGGACGAGAAATGCAGCAGAGGTTATTTAGCTCAAGGTGTGAGCCCTCAGAATCCTTAAGTTGTAGAGCTAAATTAAACTTTTCAACTCTAAGTAAATGGATCCTTTTCAAGATGTAAAAAAACCTTTTTAATCAGAGATATTATTGCTTTTTGTCACCTGCTACTCTCTCTCTCTCTCTCTCTCTCTCTATTTTTATATATATATATAAAGTTTTCCTGTGGGATGACAGAGTGATGTCATCATGTCACTCTGAGTCCCACCTGCCTCCTTCCTCTCTTCCTGCTCAAGCCTGATCTTGCTGCTTCCACTTGCCACTTGGAATTCCTATTTAAACCAAGCCCCTACTCCCCCCCTTCCTCTACTCCATGGGGCTTTTTCAACACCAAAAAAGATGGCACAGTTGCTGGCAGACCCCACATCGCAGCCATGACAGCCCAGGAGTGGGGAGGAGGGTACAATGCTCAGAACAGCAGCCCAGGGACAGGTACTAGGAGCAGGGCTCCCAATTGGGCTTATGTGTTAGGAGCGGGCTCTTGGGGAGCAGAGCGCAGAGCCCGATCACCCGGAGTCCGGCTGCTCCTGCGGAGATTCACACTGTCCTTAGCTGCTGTACTTAGCACAGATGCCAGGAGCACCCCTGAGCTGCCCAGGGGAGCTGCCACACCAACTTACCCTGGGCTCTCTGGGCAGGGCTGGGGCAGTGAGCAGCACAGGTGGGACCATACGGGGGGATGGGGAGAAAAGGGACAGTGGCTCCCCGTGCTGCTGCTTTCCTTGCCTCAGCAGGCTGCAGTGCCCTAGAGCGCCACATGCATACAGCACTACCTGTGCCTCACTGTGCCCTATGTGGGGCAGCCAATCACCCCTGTGCTTCCCTGGATGCTGGGGTCAGAGCTGGGCCAAGTGTGCGCTGCAGTCAGCAAGGGGCGAGGGTTAGTGTTGGGGGGAAAGGGAAGGGAGCCCTGGGCTGGGGAGGGCAGGGGAAGGAGGGACAAGGGACCCAGGCTGGTGTGTGGGGGAGAAGGTGCCCAGGCTGGTGAAACCACTGCCTGACCCTCCCCGGTGGCTGGGGGGAGGGCTGGGGTTGCCTACCTCCCCTCCCTTGCAAGAGTGGGGCTGGTGAGCACAGTGAGCAGGGGGCTCAGCCCCTAGTACTTTTATAAAAAGAATGATTCAAATAAATCCATATTAAAAAAAAGAAAGACAACATATCAACATCATTAGCAAGTGAAAGCGACTAAGCAAACTTCCACTTTTGCCCTAAATGTCACTGACATCAAACCACATTTAAATAAGATTAGAATTTATTACACAAATGTATGTTGGCAAGTTTTAATTCTACCTTCCAGCATGCTGAGGTGCATGGCATCATTGGCTCGCTTTGGCACACTAAGCATTACCTCCAGGCCATCTTTAATCTCACCTTTACCTTCTTCACAGCAGGTGAGCAGCTCCTGCAGAAGATCAGCAGGTCATTATTAGCATAACATCTGTGTCTACAATGCATAAAGAAAAACAACAGAATTTGCTCTGGTGACCAAAGCAGTCCTGCCAGACACCCTTCAGCTCCCCTCAGACTTCAAGTGTCAACGTAGCATGCATATTCACAAAACGTGACCTGAATGGGTAGCAAGCGATTATATTTGTTTAGTTAACCATTCATACATTATTAAGTAAACTGATCCAAATATTAGAGTGTCTTTTAATACAATAGTGGTAAAGAAACAAGCTTTTGATGAAGTGATTTAATTTTTAATGTCTAATACTCAATAAAACGGCCTATACAGTGTTACATTACACTTGCAAATCTTCCAGAAGTTTTACGTTTGCTTGAAAACATACGTATATATAATGTACCAGTCAAAGGGATGTGCTTGAGCACTAGAAACTAGGGCCATAATCCTGCATTCTGATGCAACAGTTCTTATCCTTGTGCCCACGTGGAGTCCTCACTTGATTTTAGAATGAAATTACATCCAAGGCAGGCCTTTCTTAGTCTTGGACCATTTTGTAGCTAAACACCACAGGTTTTCCTTAGCTACAGCAAGTTTCTAAAATTTCTTTTCCCTTTAAAACATAAAGCTGTCTTATTGCTCATTCTTAGCCTATTTTTGCTACTTAACTTCTATTTAAGAACTGTCAACATAACAAATGCAAGAAATTAGAGAAGCAGACTTCAGAATTACGTGGCTTTAACATTGAAAGCTGAAACATACTTCAAGAACTTTCTGGACACAGGTTCTAAAAAAGACTAAAGCAACTTGGCCACTATGTGGAGAAATAACCAACTCCTCTGAAATTTCAATTGCCACTAATTTCTTGGCTCGTTCCTAGTGGCTTTTATTTATGCTCTTTCACATCTATCAAGTCTCCTTCCTTTGCCTGTTTCCTCTCTTTAAAATGCTGCTTTATTCCCTTACTTCACTGTGCAGGTAGTAGCAAAGCAACAGTGTATTAGAAGACTCCTCCATGAAGCATATAAACAGGATGCTTCACTTTGCTGATGTCCACGCAGCAGAACAGAATGAAAAGGCCAGAGAGAGGCACAATTTAAATTTAAATAAACTGTATAGGGAGTGGTGCAGAAATAAGACAAACGAGCAGCATGAGATAATGCACAAATCCTTGGAAACACAGAAAGAAGAAAAATAAACTTGATGTTCTCAGTTGGATACTTCCCTGAAAATGGGCAGCCTTAATTTTTTCCAGCCTTTCTTCAGCATATCTCCTTATATGATCTACTTCATGAAGTCCGGAGATAGGGCCAAAATGTATGCCCAGCCTTGATTTACAGTCCCTTCAGATTTCAGGCACAGGGAGGGGGGTTGGATTAGGAACGCTGCAACTACACCCACTTCTGTGTATTTGGTACAGGCTGCTTCCAAAAGTGAAAGAAGCCTAGCCTATTTTCTGATGCTGATCCAGATAACAGGCAAAAACTAATGGAAACAACCAATCTAGGCATTCTCACCAGTGCAGATGAAAGCCAGACAATGCCAGTGTGTTTTTTGGCTCTGGCATTTTAGGCTGAAATTTCATGAGGAAAGCTTGCCATTTCTAGCATTATTAAATGCAACCACAAGCAGCCCTACACTGGACTCATAACACAAATTTCAATTCAAGACTGAACCAACTTGCAACCCTGCCACTGCATTCCTTCACTAATTATGAAACAACTATAAATGAAGACTGTCATTCATTCCTAACTTTCAATTGGCTTTTATTTTTTTTATTTACATGGGGATACGGGGTTGGTCCTCATTTTCTTCTCCCTCTAAAAAAATATTAATATAACTAAAGGCTTATGCAGCGACATTCTAGAAGCTATTCACAAACTCTTGGGAAGGATATTAGGTTATTATTTTTAACTAGAAAAACCAATGAAGTATTTTTTTTTTCATTGAAGTAGGATTCTAGGCAGGTTTATAGGTGTCACATGTTATTTTCAGGCATCTCAACAGAAAATTGTTTTTTAGAACCATTTTTCATGTTTAAGCATTTTCTTACTCCAATTCCTGAGGTTCACAACTTTATTCAGCACATGCCTATTTATTTAGCCAAGTGACAATATCATCAGTTCTTCTAGGCCAGTGCTCAACATAGTAAACAAGCATTCATTGACAGCGTGCATCATGGCCTATGTCGGGCTGCTGCTGCACAAAAGGCGATATTGTGAAGGCCCCAGCGATACTGGTTGGCTGCAAAAAGAACTTGCCTGGTCTGAAACCTGCTCAATAGGGACCACTGGTAATGGGGCAAATCAAAACCAGGTGAGCAAACTGTGCCATCAGCAATGAGGGGCTGGTTGGGAATTTTAATGGCTATCTATTCCTCTCGCCAGAGTGTTTCCACCCTAACGTCCTAGCGTGACAGATGAGACCATTATCTGCGATGTGATGGCAAATGTGCAGCTGGTTATTTAAAAAGGCCATTGTGCAACAAAGGCTTGGACTGGCATGTACCTTCTCCAGCAACTTGCCATTTCAACCTCAATTGATAGGAGGAGGAGAAATAATGCTCAGAACTGGAAGCCTTGGGAGTAAGATGGATGCAAAGTACCAGAAATGATGCACATGGTGGCATGTAATTGCGAATCCAACAGTCTGGTGTGCGACAATCAACTTCATACTTGTGCAGAGTACTCTGCCACCAAATATGAGTTGGCAAGAGCTAATGTCCGCAAGGTAAGACTGTTGCACATCTAAACTTTGGCTGCTGTCTTCTTCAGGTGGGCCTGGTAATGTAATGTGCAGCCTAAGGACACACCTAGATAGACCAATACTACATGATGCTTCATCTTCTGACCATTCAGATAACCATTCAGTTCTCTGGGTGCACTGGTGTGACAAAGATGGAACAAACTGGAGACTCTTTTTACAATGTTTGACTGGAGGTGCCAAGTCCTACAGTAGTCAGCTAACTTTGCCATGTCCTGGTTTAAGGTGGCATTAAGCTCACAAACCACGTGGGTCTGGGTACCACAAAAGAGGTTGTCTGTGTGAATGAACTTTTGTGACTCCACTGTTGGCAGGTCATTGATGTTACAGTTGAATAGGAAAGCACAGAATCCTGCGGCAACCTGTTCCTCTGTTGTCTCCAAGCACTCGTCTTCAGTAAGGCTCACTGAACAGCGACAGCATCAGGACTTATGCAAGCAACAGTATTACTAATTATGATAGGAGTTTTCCTGTATGAGAACTGCAGCATCAGACAGTTCAGTCCTAAAATTTTCATGTGATACCTACCTTTAAAAGGAGCTGATATTTTGTTATCCTCTGGACAGGTTTGATAAGGTAAGAGGAGATAGAGTTGGCCAATCCATGTCGCTGTTGTATTTCCTGCATTAAACAATAACAAATGTGAATGTCACGTGTATAAACAACAGTAAGTTACCCAGCCAGCAGTGTTACCTTTGATACAGAACCTGTATTTTCCATTGTAATTAGCAAAGAAGAAAAGAATGGTATAGAAAGATTTTCAAACCAAAGCATACAGTTTAAGTCTATTTGCTCCCCCTTACATATAAAAACTCTTTTGCCTTCTCTGGCCAATTGCATTTTTTAAAAAGGACCTGCATCTGACTAGCAAAGATTCTGGATCTGAAACACTGAGTGAAGACATCTGAACTTAGATTATTATTTCCCAAGTCACTTTGGTTAAACAGGAAAACGCTTTTGGATGTTTCCATCTGGCAATAGCCAACATCCATTTGGGAACAGGTTTTGCCATATAGTTTGCTAGTTTAAGTGTAACCAATTCAAGAAAACATGTTTCATTAACTGCTGATTCTATGCCAGCAGAGGGAGCATGAAATATAATTTAGTGACAACTTACCAGAAAAGAGAGAGCTCAGCAACAGTAGGCAAGATTTTTAAGAGGAAAGCTGAGTATTTACATCAAGAGGAATTCTTCCATTACACTAGAACAGTTATAAAAGTAGGCTATTTAAGAATTTCAAATACTGAATGTTTAACTGATTGCTTTGTGTCAATTTGGCACAAAAGGTTAACATAATTTACACCCACAGGATAATTGTACTCATTTAAAAGTAGCAAATTATTGAATCCTTGAGCTATTAAACCATGACTGTAATACAATCACACACACAGCATGTGGTACATGGCTCTGTACTAAATATGAAGTCAAGTGTGTTTTTAGTCTGAAGCTGAAATGCTAGATACTGCTTTTTAAAGGAGATCTTAGGTTTACGGGTTTATAAAGGTGGAATACAATTCCTATAATATGCAATGCAGTCTTAGTGTCTAAATACTTAGATTAGTGATAGAAATGTAGCCGTGTTAGTCTGGGGGTAGCTGAAGCAAAATGCAGGACAATGTAGCACTTTAAAGACTAACAAGATGGTTTATTAGATGATGAGCTTTCGTGGGCCAGACCCACTTCCTCAGATCAAAGGAAGTGGGTCTGGCCCACGAAAGCTCATCATCTAATAAACCATCTTGTTAGTCTTTAAAGTGCTACATTGTCCTACATTTTGCTTTAAATACTTAGATATGAGTGTTATATGCCTGAGCATTATGTGCAAATATGTGTCCATATCTCCACACTTTTTACATCAATGTAAGTTGCCTAATTATACATTAGATAGCATTATTTGGTCATCTCTAACCAGTTTTCTCCCCCAAACACAGATGTTCATTTTCATTTATTAGAAATGCATTATATGGAAGTCCAACACAATGGGTCTTTAAAATGTTCATGGTGTTGGTGGCATTATCAAAATCTCTTTGGTATACAATTCAGATACCAGTAAAGATTTTTAAATCACAAGCCCCCTTTTTCTCCTCTTTGCACAAATAATTCTTCCCAATATCCATTTCACTAGTGATGGTTCAGTGCACATACTTCAGCAGGGGGAGTAGCATAATTGATTCTTAAATACCCATGCACTCTTTAGCCAAGGGCCTTTTGGAAAGGGCCTTTAATGTGGCAATTATGAGTCCTCAGTGACATTCAGGTGCTGAAAGTCCAGAAGCAGTTGCTGCCGCTTTGCCCTTGTCTTTAATGGACATTGCACATCTCTGGTAAGAACTCCCATATAAAAGCAAGGGGTGCCATAACTGGACTGACAGTTACGATGGGCTATATAAACCCCTTATTGGACAGGGTGCGCGTAGGGGAGAGGGGGACTTGAGTTACCATGGGGGTGAGCGGGATATCTTACGGTGCAGCTCTGGGCAACGACTCTGCTTTTCCACCAGAACTGAGCCCACCCTGAGCCAAGGAGCATAGGAGCCACAGCACCCAGCAACTGGAAGCAGGGCTGGAAGCAGGTGATGTTCCCCAGGTACAGGCAGTGGCCAGATGGGGTGCATGTCTAGGTAGAAAGTCACCCAGGGAAGACAACTTGAGGCAGACATCAGATGCCAACAAGTGAGCAGCTGGACCAGCCTGGCAAGGCCTTGAGTTGGAAGCTGATGGAGTGAGAGGAACTGGACTCTCCTACCCCATTCTACACTGTATCTACTAGAAGGACTGTACCCAAAGAAGAAAAGGTTACTTACCTTGTAACTGTTGTTCTTCGAGATGTGTTGCTCATGTCCTTTCCAATCAGGTGTGTGTGCACCACATGCACGGAGTTCCGGAGCCTTTTCCCCTAGCAGTATCCATAGGGCCAGTACAGGGAGACCCCTGGAGTGGCGCCAGCATAGCGGTGCATATATACACCTGCTGGCCCCTCACCCCCTCAGTTCCTCCTCGCCTAATAGCTCCTACAAAGGGGAGATGGGTGGGGGGATTTGGAATGGACATGAGCAACACATCTCGAAGAACAACAGTTACAAGGCAAATAACCTTTTCTTCTTCTTCCAGTGCTTGCTCATGTCCATTTCAGTCAGGTGATTCCCAAGCTGTATCCCAGGCAGTGAGGTTGGAGAGTAACAATGTCTATTTGTCCACAGATTGCAACACCACCCTGCCTACTGAATAATTGTGTAACGTTCTGAAAATGTATGGACTGAGGACCATGTGGCTGCCCTACAGATGTCAATGATCGGCACTTGAGCCAAAGATGCCACAGATGCTGCCTGCACTCTTGTGGAATGTGCCATTAGCGGGGGGAGAGCGGAAGTTTCTTACTCATCCCCCGCTGGCATTCTCTAATACAGGAGGTAATCCATGATGATAGGCACTGGGCCAAAATTGGAGATCCTTTCATTCTTTCTGTGATGGAAATAAAGAGCTCTACAGATTTATGAAAGTGTTTTGTCCTTTCTATGTAAAAAGCAATGGCTCTCCTCACATCTAGATAGTGTAAAGTCTGTTCCCTAGCTGACAAATGAGGCTTAGGAAAAAACATAGGTAGGTAAATGTCCTGGGATGTATGGAAGTGGGATACCACTTTGGGAAGGAAGGCCGGGTCAGGCTGTAGTCGGACTTTATCCTTGAAAAGGACTGTATACGATGGTTCTGAGGTCATCACTCGGAGCTTGGATACCCTTCTAGCCAAGGCTTTCGCTACTAAGAACACTACCTTCCATGACAGGTGTTTTAGCGAACAAGTGGCAAGAAGCTCAAATTTTGGTCTCATGAGACCCTTAAGGACTACATTACAGTCCCATGGTGGAACCGGGAAGGGGGGGGGCGTGTATATGGTAATAAGTCTGTTAATTCCTTTCATGAATCTCTTTACCATGTGATTGGTGAACACCGACCTCCCGCTCTCCCCCGGGTGAAAGGTTGTGATTGCTGCGAGGTATACCCTCAAAGAGAAGGTAGCAAGGCCCTGATTCCTGAGATATAAACAGATAGTCCAATATCAATGGAATACTGCCCGTGGTCGGTTCGATTCCCTTTCTCAGCGTCCTCGCCGAGAGTTTCTTCCATTTAGCTTCCTATAGGGCTCTTGTGGATGGTTTCCTACTTTCCAGTAACACTCTCTGGACCTCCGCCGAACAATCCCATTCTAGCGTGGAGAGCCACTCAGGAACCAAGCTGTGAGATGGAGGGCTGTCCGGTTGGGAGAGCATAAGGTTCCTTGTCCCAGGTCTTGCGTAATTAGATTCGGGACTAGAGGCAGGTGTACTGGTTCCTCTATTGACAACTCCCACAGGATGGAGAACCGATGTTGTCTCATCCACATCGGCGCTATCACAATCACCACTGCTCTGAATCGTCTGACTCTGAGAAGGGTGTCCTGTATCAGCGGAAAGGGAGGGAATGCATACAGGAGCTGGGGTGGCAAGTTTATGTGCACAGCATCCCCTAGGGACCCCGCGCCCTGTCCCATGAAGGAGCAGAAGTTCAGGCACTGGGTATTGGTCCTGAAGGCGAAAAGGTCCAGAAGGGGATGACCCCAGCTCCGGAAGACTTCCTCTAAAATGTCCCTTCTGATCATCCACTCGTGGACTTGAAAGGACCGACTGAGTTTGTCTGATAAGAGTGTTGCTGGATCCAGGAAGGTAAGTCGCCTACAGGTGGATGACCCTGGAGATACAGGTCTCCCAGAGCCACAGGGCCTCCCTGCACAGGGGGGAGGATCGAGTGCCCCCCTGCCTGTCGATGTAGAACATGGCAGTGTTGTCGATCAGCACTTCCATTCCTCTGTTCTCCAGGTAGGGCAGGAAGGTGTGGCATGCTAGTCTGACAGCCCTGAGCTCTTTTACGTTTATGTGCAATTTCAACTCTGTTGGTGACTATAACCCCTCCGTCCAGAGAGTCCCTAGGTGGGCTCCCCACCTGGCGTCTAATGCATCTGTCACCAGTTGCACAGACGGGACTTGTTTGGTGAAAGAAACCCCTGTATATACTATGTCTTCACTCCTTGAACTGGTGGATGCAGGAAGTACCCCTTCCGGGATCATGACTACCATGTCCAAGGGGTGTTGAACTGGATGGTGGACTGACCGTAGTCAACTCTGCAGTGGACGAAGCCTGAGTCTGGCGTGGGTCACCACATATGTGCAGGCTGCCATATGGCCCAAAAGTCACATGCAGTTGCGGACCGTAATTATACGTGATTTGTGAAGGGCTATGATCATCATTCTCAGGGTTTGGAATCTGTGATTGGGTAGAAAAGCCATCTCCAATGTGGAGTTTAAATGAGCTCCCACAAACTCTATTATTTGCACGGGTATTGTGGTGGATCTTCTTTGTTTATTATGAGGCCCAGCTTGAGGAACAGACTTCTGGTGTTTGCAATGTGTCCCATCACTTGCGTTCGGGAAGATCCCTGTATCAGCCAGTCGTCCAGGTACGGAAAGACGTGTATTCCCTGGCGTCTCATAAAAGTCGCAACCAGTGCCATGCATTTTGTGAATACTCTCGATGCTGTAAATAGACCGACGGGCAGGGCTGTGAATTGGAAATGTTCCGTGCTCACTACGAATCTCAGGAACCTTCTGTGTGCAAGCGTAATGGTGATATGGAAGTAGGCATCCTGTAAGTCGAGGGCAGCATACCAATCCCCTTTCTGGAGGGAAGGGATGATAGAGGATAGGGTTAGCATTCTGAATTTCGTTTTCTTTATGAATGCGTTTAGAGCTCCGAGGTCTAGAATGGGACGGAGACCTCCCTTTGCTTTCGGGATAAGAAAATATCTGGAATAGAAGCCCCTGCCTCTGAACTCTGGAGGGACCGACTCTACTGATCCGAGGTGAAGGAGTTTTGTTACCTCTTGTCTTAGCAGGGATTCGTGAGATGGGTCCCTGAAGAGGGAAGAGTAGATGGGGGGGTAGAGGTGGGGGTAGACGTAAAGGGAATAGAATATACCTTTGCTACCAGGCTCAGGAACCATTGATTCGAAGTTATGCTTGATCAAGCCTAACGGGAGAGGCGGAAAACAAAAAGGGGTTGTAATGGTGCGCTATCCTCGACCATGCCTTCAAAACGATGGTTTGGACTGGTGCCCCTGGGATGTAGTTGGTCCCTTGTCATGTTCAGACCTGGAAACCCTCTGACTACCACAGATCATGCCAGCTGTTACCACGGCCTCTTCTCCTTCCCTGATCTGTATTAAAGCCTTGCCGGGAGAGGCGGAAAACAAAAAGGGGTTGTAATGGTGCGCTATCCTCGACCATGCCTTCAAAACGATGGTTTGGACTGGTGCCCCTGGGATGTAGTTGGTCCCTTGTCATGTTCAGACCTGGAAACCCTCTGACTACCACAGATCATGCCAGCTGTTACCACGGCCTCTTCTCCTTCCCTGATCTGTATTAAAGCCTTGCAGGAATG